TGTTTCTAATTGGAATGACCCTTTGTTTGCTGTTGTCGTGATTTTGTATGGGCCGTCCCAATTTGTTCCCAGTTTACCTTCCCGTGGGTCTTTGCTTACTTGTGTTTTAGCTTTGAGCAAGTAGTCCCCGACTTTGAGTGGTCTGACCTTTGACTTTTTGTTGTAATAGCGTTCTGCCTGTTGTTTTTGGGTGATCATCCTTATGTAGGCCACATCCCTTTTTTCCTGTAAATCGGGGTCCGTTGTCGCAACTGATCTCTTTGGGGAGGTTGAAACGACATACGATGTTTTTCCATATGAAGGCAATCACTTCCTGTTCCTGTATTTGAGCGAATGCTCCTGCTTCTACCCATTTAGAAAAATAGTCAGTTAAAACCAAAAAAAATCGTACGTTATCTTGCCCCACCGAGAAGGGGCCCACGATGTCCATTCCTCATTTGATGAACGACCAAGGGGAAGTGACTGAGTAGAAGTGCTCGCCTGCTTGGTGGATCATTTGGGCGTACTTTTGGCACTTGTCGCATTTTTTTATGAAATCTGTAGCCTTTTTTTTCATGGTAGGCCAGTAATATCCTGCCCGTATGAGGCATCTGACCAAATCTCGATTGCCAGAATGAGCTCCGCAATGGCCTTCGTGGATTTCTTCAAGGCGCGCCACGTCTGATTTGGGCCTAAGCATTTCTCTAGGGGGGCGCCATACGTCCTCTTATATAGGTCGTTATGAATGATGTTGTACCTAGCTGCTTGCATTCGAAGTTTCTTGGCTTCTTTTTTATCATTTAGGAGTACGCCATCCTGCAAATATGTAACAATACGGTTGCGCCAGTCCCAAGTCAAGTTTATGGTTCTTACCTCGATTTGATCTATCAGTGAGTTGAAGAGGTAGACCATATTTCTTTCCTCGGTTGTAATGTTTTTGGTCCTGCTACTAATTTGGTTAGGACGTCTGCCTCGGTGTTCTGTGCTCGGGGATCTGGTCGAGCTGACATTCGTCAAACTCGGGCAGCAGCTTACAGATCTCGGTCTAGTATTTTTGTAACCTTTTCTCTTTGATCTGAAAAGTCCCTGCGAATTGGTTGACAACGAGTTGAGAATCGCAGCGTAGTCTTACCCGTCTCGCCCCGTATTTGAGTGCTAGCTTTAGCCCTGCAATTACGGCCTCATACTCGGCCTCGTTGTTAGTCATGTCTGGGCACCTTATGGACTAGCGAATCACTTCGCCGATCGGAACTTCGAGTACGAGTCCCAGTCCGGACCCTGACGCGTTAGAAGCACCGTCGGTGTACAGGACCCAGATGTCCTGTGTTTCGGGAGAAGCGTGGGCGGCTTCTTTTTCGACTTCGGGCATTATTTTTGCGCTGAAGTCCGTGACAAAGTCAGCAAGAACTTGTGACTTTATCGCTGTTTGCGATTGGTATGTGATATCATGCTTCATTAGTTCTATGGCCCATTTGGCCAACCAGCCCGATAGCTCGGGTTTATGCAAAATACTTCTTAAGGGGAAAGTCGTGACTACCGAGATATGGTGGCACTGGAAGTAGGGTCTAAGCTTTCGTGAAGCTACGACCAAGGCCAGGGCTAAATTTTTCGAGGTGAGGGTAACTCGTCTCGGTGTCGACTAGTGTTTTGCTAATTTAATAGATTGGGGACTGCGTACCTTTATTTTCTCGGATTAGGACTGTGCTCACAACTACTTCGGATACATCGAGGTAGACGATGAGGCGCTCCTCTGGTTATGGTTTTGAAAGCAATGGTGGTGACGACAAGTAAGCCTTCAACTCCTTCAGGGCTTGAGTGCACTCAGAGGTCCATTGGAGGTCGTTATCCTTTTTTAGTACGCTGAAGAATTTGTGGCACCTATCGGATGATCGCGAAATGAACCATGAAAGGGCGGCGATACGACCAGTCAACCTCTAAACCTATTTTTTGGTGGTCAAGTGCTCTGGTATCCCTCCGCGTTAGTAGTTAAGAATTGATGAAATTTACCTGGTTCTTGAAGCATGCAGCCGATGTAAGCTTTCTTGTTGTGGTCGTTGCCATCTAATTGAACGGGGTCGAGGTCTTCTATGGTTGATTCTGCGGCTTCGACCGTATCGGGGTCTTTGATGACGTCCTCGTCCGACCTTAACCTAGTTGATTGCTATACCTCTTTTTCTTTGTCCTTTGCTTGTTGAGTGACCGTGCAATCTAATGCGATGGGGTAACATTCCCGAGATGTACACTGCTCCCCTCATACGCTGAAGATTCCCCATGGAGTTGGGGATTTGAAGACTTGGTACAAGCTGGAGGGGATGGCTCTTATGGTGTGTATCCATGGTCGCCCTATTATGGCGTTGTATGTTATGTCTTGGTTCATGATATGGAATGTGGTTTCCAGAGTGACTCCACTGGCTAGGATGGGGAGCGTGGTCTCGCTGGATGTTCACTCAACTATATTGTTAAAACACGTTAGCGTGATGCAGCATGACACTATCTTATCCTCGAGTTTCATTTGTGCAAGTACTCGAGATTGGATAATTCACGCGCCGCTTCCATCGTCTACCAAATGCGTCTCACATCGGTATCTAAAATTCGTAAAGTGATAACAAAGGCATCAAAGTGAGGGAAAGCCAAACCGTTGGTATCCGACTTATCGATGATGATACTTTCTTCGAGTTCGTCATACCGTTCATGGGTGATTGACCGTTTGAGCTTGTGGGTTGTGGTGAATGTAACACTGTTGATAGAGGCATCATCAGTGCCTCCAATGATCATGTGGATGGTGCAGGTTGGCGAGGGCGGGTTCGGTGGTCCTTGATGTTATTCATGTCCTCTGGCAAAATTGGTCCTTCCTCGATTGCTCAGTAACTCTTTGGGTGTCCCTGTCGTAACATGTTTACGACCTTCTGCCTCAGAGTGATGCAATCCTCGGCTTTGTGTCCTCTCTCTTGGTGGAATTCGCACAAGGCATCTGATTTTCTGGTATTCAGGTCTGACCTCATCTTTTGCGGCCACTTCACCTTAGGTCCGAGCTTCTCCAAGGCGTAGACTATTTCTGTAGGTGATACATAAAAATATGAGCAGATGACAAATGGGGCATAGCTTTTTCGTTCCGATGAGTCCCTGTCCTTGATCTGGGTGGGCCCTCTTCGTGGCGGGAGGAAAGCGCAATGGCGCTTTTGACATATGGTAGATTTCGTTCCCGGTTTGGTCGTGGAGCTACTAGGTCCCTCCTGATATCATTCCTTCGATCTTTTCTGGGTTCGACTTGTACCGAGGTCAATCGATGAGTTGGACCGTTGAGGTGGTCCTCGTCTGCTCGGACCTCGGCACAATATGCGTTGTGTATTTCATCCTAAGTAGTTGGGGGTACTTCATAAGCCGACTTAATAATTTTCTAGTTGCCCTTGAACCGTTTTTACTCAGCCCGTTTTGGAAAGATACAACTGACATCCCTTCCGATACATTCGGCAAGGTCATCCTTACTCGGTTGAAACGGGCGAGGAAGTCCCTCAATCCTTCTCCCGGAGACTGTTTGATGGCAAATATGTTGTTTACTCTTGCTTCCGCCTTTTTGGCCCCAGCATGGGCTGTTACGAACTTGTCGCCCATCTCTTCAAAGGTCTCAATGGAACCCGCGGGCAGTTTTGAATACCATGTTAACGCACCTCCCGAGAGGGTTTCACCGAATTTCTTCAACAAAATGGAGGATACTTGTTCCTTGGCGAGGTCATTGCCTTTCATGGCGGTGACGTAATGAGTTACATGGTCTTCTGGATCGGTCGTACCATCATATATTTTCAGGTAGGGCGGCATCTTAAAGGTCTTTGGTATGGCATGCAGGGCGGCGTCATCACTGTATGGCTACTCGACGAATCGACCAGCATCTCTTTTTGGCAAGAGCTTTGGGGCACCCGGTATCTTATAGACCCTTTCCAGGTGTTCTCTCATTTGATCTCGAAGTACTTTGTTCTCGTTCTCCATTTCTTCCATCCTTTTCAAAATGGCGGCGAGGGTGCCGTCACCTGCACTGTTAACAACGTTGTGAGTAATACCTTTCATAGGAGGGGGGAACTGGTCGCGCTGCTCGTCCGCTGATGGTATAACGCAAGTCATTGCGTTTTCTGCAACCGTATCCTGAGCAGCTTTATGAAGGACGCTGGTTAGCGTGTCAATTGGCCAAGCCTCGAGGAGCTATTTTACTGCTGGTGGCGTCTCTTCCACCATGGACGTGGAAGCTCCCTTACCGAGAGATTTTCTGATGCTATAGTGAGGAGGGGGTGATCCGCCTCGCTTGGGGGAGGCGTTGGGTGTTGTATCCTCGTCCTCTGCTTCAGAAATCTCATTGATGGTGTTCAAGAGGTTGGTTGTGAGGTCGCCCATTATCCTCGTTCTTTCTTATCTGTTACGTGCCATATTAGAGCTGTGCATACAAAGAAAGGAGATCTTGTTCTTGGTTTTTTTTTACGTTAGCAATCCGTGTTAGTTATAGATCTAGAGGAAACTAAAAATTTAACTAGGAAACTCCCACAGACGGTGCCAAATTATTTGACAAAACGTATAAACTTTATGTTAAACTATTATATTTTATGTAATGAAGGGCTAAATTTATTTAATGATAATATCTCTAGATATAGATCTTGAATACACAGATAATGTAAGACAGAGTCAGTGGGAGATTAAAAATAACACATTTAACATTCCAAAAGGTATGAACAATAATGGAGGAGTAACTAGCAATAAATAACAATAAATGGCATTTAAGTAAATAGGAGGAGTGATTCACCCAATAATGAATGAGTTAGATGATTGTTCCTCCTGACAATGATGAGCGACAAACAAATCCTAGAATGTTCGAACTATTCTCGGATCTGATGGAAAAGTATGGAATAGTGTGAGTAAGAATATTGATGAAAAGGTAAAGTTTGTATCTTTGCTAGAGAGAGAGAATCTTCTTCTGTAAAGTATTCTTATCAAATGAATATTACATGCATGCCCTCTCCCATTATCTCTTTTTCTATTTATACAAGACATGTCTCTAACAAACCCTAATATTCTCTTTAATATCATATTTCAAACACTAGCCGTTAATGTTCTTTACACAATGCTCGACCTCGGTTATGGTTGACATCTCGGCCATGAATCTTGCTGCTTCCTGGTCGACCTCGACCGACTTTTTCCTTAATGCCATATCAAGCTAAATATCCTTAGGGCAGATTTTGACCTATACAATAAGGTGAATAAAATTATTCAAAAAAGTTAGTACATGTTACCACCGAAAAGCTGTTCTATGCAAAAATGAGAAATATCTATTACTCAAATTTCCGGCTGAAATATAATTCTAATAATTACTAGTAGGAGTTTGCTGAAGTCTAACCCAAAAAACACACAGCCACTCAATGCCACAGGAGAAAAAGGGAAAACAAGGAGAGGTACATGGCTATATTACATATTTTTGCCTACTCGATGTGTTATGTGTAGTCGAGTGTTTAAAATAGACTAACCATTGATGGTCCCAAAAATAATGCTCTTTGATTAAGGTCATGTCAACCACCACAAGTAGAAACATTACCTCCTCCCAACCACTTTTCTACACGAATAGATGCCATCTGATGCCTTTGTCAATGTCCAACAAAATCTTCAACGTTCAAGTTACCCTCACCATATAAGATATTATTTTGTTACGATTTTAGTGAATTTTACACATAAATTTATGCTCCACGTTAAAAGTTACGAGTTCAATTGAACCTGTAGCTTTAATACTTCATCCGCCCCTATTTGCGCAGCTCAGAAAACTATAGGAAGAAGGGATAGTGGCCACAGTTGTAAGAACAGACAAAGTACACATAGCAGAACCATACCTCATTTTAATGCTGCATTTTGTAGGTGACACTAAAGATGTTATGGTCATTGGTTAGGAGGACAACAAGTCTTCAGCTTAATTTGAGGCTTGTGACAGTGTACTCTACAGAGCATAACGATGAGATCATGGAAATGCTGTCGATTCAAACATTAGACACACTTAGCTGACGATGCTTCTATTAAAATACTAGAGATAATCGTTTCCCCTTCAATTCTAGAGCATTAGAGTTGAAGGTATATTTTCTGACTCTTGGATCGCTGGTACTATCTTTCTGGTCATGTTGTTGTTACTATTCTATTGTCGCATTTCATCTTCTTCTGCCGAGGGTTTATTCGGAAACAGCCTTTTTGCCCTCGGGAGAGGGGTAAGGTCTGCATACAAACTACCCTCCCCAGACCCCACGCGTGGGATTATTGTAATATATCAACATAGGAAAAGGAGAAAGCAACTATTCAAATTTCCAACTACTTCTACACTAACAGAAGCCATCTGCAGGCTTTATCAACGTCGAACAAATAAGTCATACTTACCAAAATATCATTAGTTAAACCTTTGCCTTGGCTGATATACTTATTGGAAATAATATCAAACTGAAATAGATGATTTTGAGTCTCCATCAATATGGTATATTTCACTTGTGCCCAAGTTGAAAAGATTGAAAATAATTTCAGAACAGCAAAGGAGATCCTAGTAGTTGTCAATTGAGCATCAGAGTATTTTCAGCGCCATATCAGCATGTAAATTGTGTGATCAGGCACACCAAGAAAGCTACTCATGCCATATATATTAAGTACATTAAATAAGTAACTCGCGTGGCACAGATGAATTTGACATAGATCACCAGTGCCACAACTTCATTCCTCTCCATATCTCTGTGTCCAAAATAAGAAGGAAGGAATCTCTAAACTGGAATAAACGAGCAGTTTTGCATTTCATAGGAACTTGGATTCTATTGTTCTGGATATAGCTTATCATTAAACCTGAAAATCAAGACAAATTTAATGGTCAAAGAAATGGTTCAGGAAATTGGATAATTGCAGGCTTTCATGCATGTGTTTAGGGGGTTGGGGACTAAATATGCCATTTCCATATACATCAGTGATTTGACATAAATATTTTGATAGACAACACTCATGGACACCCATTTATCCTTCAACAGTAGTATTTCAATTTTTATAGGGTCCCAACTTTTCTAAGAGCATGTGTTCCGCAAATTGGAGATTCACGAAAAACACAAAAGAAGGGACATCTTTGCAGTTGCCAAAGTATCAAGGCGAACGTGCGAGCCATGCTTGCACATGAGAGCCTCAAATAGCAAAGCAATCCTCAAATGTCTTCTTCTTCTTCCATTTCATTTTCCTTTTCCCTTATGATGTTTCACTTTCAAGCTTAAAAGCAACGAAAATCTGCACAGCTATTTTCAGTTTTTCGCATATTAGAATAGTTAGAAAAGATTAACTAGAGCTTATGAATAACCTAAACAAAAAAAGATATTTTTGTCAACATCGATAACTATGAAAATGAGCTAGCTGATAACTTGGCCAAAAAGCTTCAGCGTTATACTAATGAACAACCTCAAGAACATCAAGGTCCATACTTCAGTTTGCAATCAATGGGTCTCATAAATAGCGCATCACCTAATAAGATCCAGATTGATTGAGGAACAAAAGACAGCAAACTTAAGTTCAGAGAATACAGGGCTGCTCATGGTAGATTGGGATGAAAAGTTCCAGCCAGTTATTCCACACTCTTAGATCAACTAAATTATTGGGACAAGTGGACAACCATTCACTCCTGTAAAACACATACATGACACCCCCCAGACACACACACAAGAATACACTCAACAATGTAAACCCATTGCTTACCTCTCCTTCCAAAGAATTTTCTTGGCAACATATTTTCTCTTCAAACCTACTCTAAAGGAGCCCGTGTTCCAGCATTGATATACAACATATAGGTACTTCCTACTGATTTTCCAAAATACATGCAATAGCTGGAAAAACAAACTCTTATCTTATTAAATGGGACTTGAATGTTGGATCCGCTTGTTTACCATCACAAGCAAAAAATAGGAAATTAGAGATAGAAGCTACCTAGCGAAATTAGAGAAGATACTACTACTATTATAAGGCCCTTTGTATTCATGCACTGCTAAACAACCCATCATTAAAGTACCAGTAAAGTAAAAAAATTCTTTTTTCATAGCAATCGGGATACTATTCCAAACCACGATTTCTTCCTTCAAAAGAACCCGAGCTAAAACCGTTCTCAACACTAGAACTTTGAGCAAGGATATGGTCTAGCTTTGGAGACCAATCTTCCACTCTATAATTCAATAAACATACTCCAAATTTGTTAAGATCGAAATAACATGGTGCATGCGGAAGCTAACAATGCAAAACTGATGGACAATAAATCAGACAAGAAAGAAAATATATTAAAGAAGCATATTATATTAATATGATTTGGTCAAGTGCCCTACATAAATCTACTAAAATTAAGAGAAAAGAAAAACTTACTGAGAGAATAAATTCTCCCCTAAACAAGACTTTTTAATGACTACATTGTGGATGTTGTTGTTGTTGTGAGAAGAAAATGTCAATTCATAAAAGTACAAAACTTCTCCTCCAAGAAAAGGATAAGGCATATGAAAGAGATTTATTCCTTTTAGGAGTCTCCGTCCCTTCCTCTAAGAAAAAGAGTCCTAATAGATTAAAAATTCAAGGCAAAATCCTAACAATTTTCCCATTGTCCTGAATTTTCTTGATAAAGTTTGATTCACCTTCTTCACATAATCTTCATCACTGCTGCTTGCCATGATTAAAAACGGGTATGAGTTAAAATTGGAGCCATGTGCATTAAAAGTGAGCACGGGTTAAAACTGACTTTTGATTTTAAAGATGCAGCAGCAAGTGTTTTGAATATTTGTGATTGTAATTTATTTCCACATGTAGCATCACGTTCAAACTTTTTGGATGAATCTTCACTATCATCAAATGGGTTGCAGATTGATTTGAACCCGTCTGAATCTGTCTTCGATCTCGCTTCGAACCATTGGCTCTGATTCCACCTGTTAGGATTGAAATAACATGGCGCGTGCGGAGGCTAACAATGCAAAGCTGGTGGACGATAAATCAGACAAGAAGAAAATATACTAAAGAAACATATTATATTAATATGATTTGGTCAAGTAACCTACATAAATCTACTAATACTCCATCCGTTTCATATTGTTTGAGCTAGTTTGACTCGACACGGAGTTTAAGAAAAAAGAAGAAGACTTTTGAAACTTGTGGTCTTAAAAGAAGAAGGGGTAAAAGGTTTGTGGGGCCATGCCATTTGTGTGGCTATAAAAGCTTCTCATTAAGGGCAAAAAGGGTAAAATGAAGAGTTTAAAGTTGAATTATTTTCAAATTTAGAAATGTGTCACTTATTTTGGAACAGACTAAAAAGGAAAGTAGCTCATTTAATATGAAACTGAGGGAGTATTAAGAGAAAAGAAAAACTTATTGCGAGAATAAATTCTCCCCTAAACAAGACTTTTTAATGACTACAGTGTGGATTTTGATGTTATTGTTGTGAGAAGAAAACGTCAATTTATAGAAGTACAAAGTTTCTTCTCCAAGAAAAGGATAAGGCATATAAAAGAGATTTATTCCTTTTAGGAGCCTTTGTCCCTTCCTTCAAGAAAAAGAGTCCTACTAGATTAAAAATTCAAGGCAAAATGCTAACAAAATTAACCAAATACTCGGATAATCAAAGATATCTTCACAATCTTACAGTACTTGGGGTCATTCGGAAAACCCTACGAGATGAACTTCCCAATTGATGCAGCTGACTTGAAACTCATTCATCATATAGTTTGTGAAATGCTAAATTAAGTAAGAGCGAGAGAGAGAGATCCACTATCTCAAATTGAACAGCTATGCCTCCATCCCAATCAATTTGGGGTCGGGAATATGAATCATCACCATTCATGAGGCTCCATTTCAGCTCGCTTTCTCAAATCAATAGTAACCAATATGTCCTACTATATATCTCAGGTTTCTATAGAAAGATTTTCAGCAAGAAACCGACTAAAAAGCTTGTAAAGTTTTATCCTTTTATCTTCTAAATGGTTCAGGCATCTTAAATCTCCCATAATTTCAGATCCCAACATTCACAATTATCACAAATACAAATATTTAAGCTCAGATACAACAATTGAGTCAAATAATACGGAAAACGAAATGGGTAGCTAAAGAAATAGACAGTTGAAACATATATCAGAAAGGGGTTGCAAGAATTACCTGGATATATCAAATCCCGACCATTTTGAAGAGAATGTAGCAGAGGAAACAAAAGAATGCAAAGAGGAATACATAATCTATAAACACAAAGAATTTGGTGGATCCATGGTTTCTCTTCACCCTCTTCTTCTGATTTGAGGCGTCTTCGTTTGATTCCACCTTTCCCATTATTCTTATTCCCAAACAAAACCGCAGATCAATGAATTTATTTTGTAGCAATAGATCTGCCTCTCGCTTCTCTGTTTCTTTGTTTCTTTTTAGTATACCCGCGCTTTGTCGCTTGCATATGCACCGCACGTGACTCAGATTTGTGGCTGGGCCTGTCCCTTCCTTTGAACACTAGCCGTTGATCTTATTTATTAGGATCTTTTGGTTTGAAGACAAGTTATGTTGGCATTAGTTATATTAGGACTAGTTATAATGCGATTAGTTATTCTGATATTAATTTTTATGACTATTTGGTATGTTATATTATTCCTACGATTGTCAATTTGCTATCCTGAGATAACTTATCTTGGGATTACTATTTCATCATTTGGTAGGTATAAGTTATCTCGATACTATTTTTAATCCTGAGATAACTTATCCAAGGATTAGTAACCAAATAAAGGATAAGGTGGTATTAAATTTTTGTCCCAAAATTATTTTTGCTTATCCATCATACCAAATGACCCCTGGTCCTATTTTGTTTGTCGGCTTCTAGTTATCTGGGATATTTAATCAACTTTTTAAGACGAAAATCGGAAATAAGTTTTATGAAATTTTAATATAATTTAGATATTCAGTTGAGAAAGAAATATATTTAACAATTCTAGATAAAGATCACTGTTTAAAAGGAAAAAATAATGTATATATGTTATATAATCCAAGATACTATAAATGAGGAGAAAAATTAATACTATTTAAAATTATAGTCTGATGACACCAACAGAAATGACACACTGTTAACATACGAAATTGAAAGAGATTGACAACAAATTATATCTAGGGCTCGAAAGAAGAGAGAGAATTGGGGAGAAAATATCTCACATTTTTGTAAACAAAATAAAATGCCAAAATCCAGAACATTCTGTCTCTCTACCTACATATATACATTGGGCCTCTTAACTAAGCTACTCATAAATAAAAACGGGGCTAGGCCCAAATACAAAAGAGCTAATATCAACAGCCCAACTTGCTTCATGTAATCCCAACACCCCCCCCCCCCCACACACACACACACCCCTCAAGTTGGAGGGTGGGCACACACCCAACTTGCCAGTCAAAATGCGATGTTGCAAACCTGTCAAAGGCTTAGTAAAAATGTCAGCCATTTGAGAATAGGAACATGAGATAAAGAGATGAGGCCATCAGCCAATTTGGTGCGAATAAAATGACAATTGATTTCGATGTGTTTAGTGCGCTCATGAAACACCGGATTCTTGGCTATGTGAATAGCAGCCTGGCTGTCGCACAAAGCAGGAATTGGAGCATCAATAGAAAGACCCAAATCAGATAATAAACGGACCAACCAGGCTAGTTCAGCCACCACTTTACTCATAGCCCTATATTCTGCTTCAGCTGAAGACAAAGAGACTATATTTTGCTTTTTAGATTTCCAAATAAGAATACTACCACCCAAATGAATGCAGAAACCAGTGATAGAGCGTCTAGATTCATGACAAGCAGCCCAATCACTATCACAACTAACAAGCAGACAGAAATCAGGAATTTACTGAGAAACACCCCAAAAGTAGAAGTCCCCTTTAAGTATCTCAAAACATGCAAAGCAGCAGCCATATGTGGGACCCAAGGTGTCTTTAAAAATTGACTCAAATGCTGGACAACAAAATATAAGTCTGGTCGAGTATGAGTCAAAAAATTGAGCTTGCCAACCAAACTTCTATAAGATTCAGGCTTAGGTAATAGCTCACCAACATCAGAATGCAACTTGTGAGCATTGTCCAAAGGACTGACCACTTCAGAAGCATCAAGACAATTAAACTCAAGAAGCAAATCAGAAATGAACTTCTTTTGATGCAAAAGGACCCCAAACTTGTGATAGAATACTTCATTACCTAAAAAATAGTTAAGCAAACCTAAGTCTTTGATCTTAAACTGAGCATCAAGGAAACTCTTAAGGGCAGAAATTTCAGACAAATCATCCCTAGTTAAAATAATGACATCAACATAAACTACTAGAAAAACAGAAGAAGACTCAGTTCTCTTAACAAACAAAGAATAGTCATTTAAAGAGTGAGAGTATCCCCTGGAACAAAGGGCTTGAGACAGCTTTGCATACCACAATCGAGAGGCCTGTCTTAGCCCATAAAGAGATTTTTGCAGCTTGCAGACTAAAGTAGCAGATCCAGAAGAGGAGGAATCAATAGAAAGGCCCTGAGGGAGCTTCATATAAACTTCCTCATCTAAGTCCCCATGTAAAAAAGCGTTATTAATATCTAATTGAAACAAAGCCCACTATTTTTTAACTGCAATAGCAACTAAACATCTGACAGTACACATTTTAACCACAGGAGAAAAGATTTCATTAAAATCAATCCCTACTACTTGAATATCACCTCGAACCACTAATCTTGCCTTATATCTTTTCACACTACCATTAGCCTTATATTTTATTTTATATACCCACTTATTGCCTATGGGCTTCTTACCAATAGGAAGCTCAAAAATTTTCCAAGTTTTATTTGCCTCTAAAGCCGCAAATTCTTGTCTCATTGCCTCTTGCCAAACAGGAATGGCAACAGCCTAATATATAAATAAGGCTCCACTAGAACAGGTTGTGTAGTGGAAGTAGAGGTAGAGGTGGAGCAAGAAATAGAAGGAGGAAGGTTAACAATATAGTCTTGGAGATGGGAAGGAAGATGATGGGATCTGGTACTTTTCCTAAGCTCAGAAGGATGGGGTAACACATTATCAGGTGAGGAAGAAGAAGGCATAGAGTCATCAGAAGGTGAGGAGGTAGCAGAAGGAGGGATAGGAACAGAGGAAGAAGTATCATAGAACAAAGGAAAAGAAGGAAAAGAAGAAGGAGTAGGAGAAGAAAAGGGAATCTTATAAGGAAACACAGATTCATTAAACACAACATCTCTTCAAAATAAAACAGACTTAGTTTGCAAATTGTATAACTTGCACCCCTTTTTGGCAAAAGGATACCCAACAAATACACAAGGAAAAGCCCTAAGGTAAAACTTATCCCTGTGACACTTGGGGGCTGTAGCATAACATAGACAACCAAAATGCCTTAAATGAGAATAAGAAGGAGGATGACCATATAATAATTCAAAAGGGGTTCTTTGGATAAAACTGAAGATGGAAACCTATTAATAAGGTAAGTTGTTGTCAATATACAATCTCCCCAAAATTTGATAGGAAGATTGGATTGAAATAGCAGAGCTCTTGAAGTTTCAAGTAGGTGTCTATGTTTTCTCTCAACCACGCCATTCTGTTGTGGTGTGTGTGGATAAGTGGTTTGATGTATTATCCCATTATCAAAAAAAAAATTAGGTGGCAGATGTAGAAGATCCAAGCTCTAAAGCATTAGCACTTCTAATCTGTTGGACAGAAAGTTGAAATTGGGTTTTCACCATGGTTATAAATGCTTTAAGCACAGAAAATGCATAGCTTTTAGAGTGCAACAAATGTGTCCATGTTACTCTGCTATAGTCATCAACTATGGTAATAAAGTACTTAGCTCCAGAATATGTTTGAGTGTGGTAAGGTCCCCAAGTATCAACATTGATGTTTTATACTTCAATACCACACGGGGGGGAGGGGGGATGATTTGTGTGGTACCCAATTTTTCGCTTAACTTGATTATAGAAGGACCTGGTTCTTCTACGTGTTCCAACTACTACTATTGTGGAATAATAAGTACAGAAATTAAAGAACACAAAGATTTTACGTGAAAAATACATGGCTCAAAAGGTGAAAAAACCACGACCTACCTTCCAGTAGGATTTTTCCAAACTCTCCACTAAAATCACTGAGCCAAAAACTGCATTTACAAAAACTCTTTTGTAAACCTAGGATTAATCTAATCCCGTTGTGGCACACAGCCTCAACTGATGCGACAACTTCAAGTTAACTCTAACTTGAAAACTCTGAGTACCTAATACAATTGCTTCTAGATAAGCTGAAAGGTACAATATGAAAACACCTACTATAATTGAACTAGAATAAAAGACAGACACTTAGAACTGGTTCTTCTATCTGGTTCAAGTAGCTTCAGGTTTGCACGCTTGAATCACACACAAATTGCTTGCAAAATTGCCTTGCTATTTTGCTCTCAATTCACGTTTAACTTCTGCTTATGTGCATTACCTGTAAAAGAGAACAACACTGATATTTATGGAGTTAGTAAATAGATATTGACTAGAGCCTAGAGCTCTAATACCAACTTGTCACGACCCCGGTTCGCCCTCCGTGAACCATCGTGACGGCACCTAGTCTCTACGACTAGGTAAGCCTAAATTGCGGAAGAGAGACCAAAATTTGCGAAAGTAAAACTATTTAAAACAGAAATAAGAAATAACTTGTGTATAAATGTGCCGCTCCGCATACACCATGTTTAACTCTTAAAACCAACACATAAATCCAAGACCCGAAAACCCATGAATCACAAGCTAAGAAGTACTACATAGCTCTAACTCCAGAATGTCTGACAAGAACTGAAAAATACAGAAGGGCTAATACTAAACAGCAGGAATAGAAAGAGACTCCTCGGTCTGCGGACGCGGCAGATATACCTCGAAGTCCCGTAGAATCACCTCGCCTCAAGAATGGTAAGCTTGAGTAGAGGTACCTGGATCTGCACATGAAAAACATGCGTAGGAAGGGCATGAGTGCACCACATCGGTACTCAGTAAGTGCCAAGCCTAACCTCGGTTGGGTAGTGACGAGGAAGGTCGGGGCCCTACTGAGGTTAAATAAGATATAAGGTTTAACAGTGTGAAATAAACAGTGTAAATAAGTAACACAAGATATAAAGGACAGCAGCAACTATCACAGAGGCAAGTAAAATACAGTACGAGAACACAACTCAACTCCAAGATAACAACCGGGGATCTCCCAAGATACCGTCATGTAGTCCCTAAATATAAATATCATATCCAGTGGATCTCCTGAGTGCAGTCCCGAAGTCCAACTCATGAATGTGCAGGGGGATCTCCCGGAATGCAATTTCCGTAGTCCCAAAGTAAAAATACAGGGGAGCTCCCGGGATACTGTCCCGTAGTCCCAAAGTTAAAGTGCAGGAGGATCTCCCGGAATACCGTTCCGTAGTCCCAAAGT